GGAAGGTCAAGATGAATTGTGTAGCTCTCCTAGTGCCCGACTTTCCTCTAAGATTAAAAGTAGTGATGATTATATCTATAATTTCTAAATGATTGGCCCACTCCAGAGCTGCCTGCCACTATCTGGAACATGCGAATTCTAAGAGCGGGTTCCTAAGCCGCCTCTCCAGCTAACGTGGAAACATCCATTTGTTCTGCATGCACTAACCAGGTGTTATCTCCCAAGTTCCTTACGATTCGCAGCACTCGGGACGGCTGAGTGGGGGATTTTGCAGCACTTAAATAGGACACCATGGTGAGGAGCGTGCAAGAGGTGGGCGGGACTGATCACGGCTAGATATAACGACGCCCGGCTCTGCAAAAATTTCATGCAGTTCCATGCCAGTGTCTGTCCGTAACTTAGGCCCGCATTACCTGAGTACATGAAGACAGAAGCCTCCTCACCACTACAAATACACCTCTAAATGTAACTGCAGGTTCACAGCTGTGGCTGGAAGAGGGCAGGAAACGAAAACAAAATTGCCATCGCAGATGCGTGTCAGCAGAGGAGCAAATTTAAATTCCGACTTCGTTTTACAGCTTGATGTTGGGCTTATTTATGAAATGGCTTGAATCTTAATTCACGGCTTTGCCGAGTGGAACCGTGATCTCCTTCATGGGGTCATTTTGGAAAGCACGCTGTGTTCAGTTAGCTTGGTGGGGAGGCACCTGGAGGCGACAGCCATGTATCTCCTACCTAACCAGGAGCAGTCATTTTAGAAGTTAAATGTTGATGCCTCAAAAGAAATGAAAGAAAAAAAAAATCAACCCCAGCAGATTCTGTCATGGTGACTGTCAGCCTGCTCTCATGGTTTAAAATTACGGTCCTTCTGGGCAATGGGCAAGAACAAAAAACCTCCCCGCAGACGCAGCTTAGCAGGTCCCCAGCAGGTTCTTCTTGTTAGTCTCCCTTTCCAGCCAGCTGCCTCTGCTTTTTAAACGCCCAGCGACGCAGCTCCACCCTCCCAGCGCAGGCTGCAGGAGCCTGTGCATCCATCGCTCCCAGGGGGTTTTCTTCTTGGTGAGCGTTTGAAAGCTACTTTCCCCGCCTGACCCGTTCCAGTCTAGGAGCTCCTTTAAGAGACAGAATATAGTTCGTCAAAAGGGAGGTGAGTATAAAAAGCCAGGGTAGAGTTACGATAAGGAATAAAATGAGTCCCACTGATTTAAAATATAAAAGTGAGGTCAAGGCAAAATGCAAACCATTTTTTGTGAGAAAGTCACCCCCCCGCACTCCGCCCTCATCAGGTATTTAATGGTTTCTTCTTAAAAACTTTCCAGACAGCAGGGTTTCTCTGCGTAGCCTTGCTGTTCTGGAACCTGCTCTGCGAACTCACAGACCTGCTTGCCTCTGCCTCAAGAGTGCTGGATTCAGAGACATGTGCCACCACTGCCCAGCTTGATGTCCAGGAAAAAGGAGGAAGTGTGACAGACACCGTTGGGAGCCTAAACTAAATTAATTAATTAACTAAACTAATTAAAATGCACTTATCATCAATTAGCCACCGGAGTGTAAGTCTACAATCCTAGCACCAGGGAGCAGAGGCAGGAGGACTGCCAGCGTGAAGCCAGCAAATTTTTGCTGAGCTACAAAGCAAAAAGTTCCCCTCATATAACATGGCAGCCTATATGTAAAACAACAGATTTCAGGCAAGGTTACCAGGAGTGCGTGCGCCTGAGAATGCCGTCTGCCTGCTCACATACTGCTAGCCAGTATGGATTGCAGAGCTCCTAGTGACATCACTGTCACAGCAGCAAGGCCTGTAATAACAGCAACCACCAATTTCCCGACAGCGTGTGTTCCATATAGCCCATTTAGTCCCTTTCTAAGCTATTAGAGGTTAAATTGCTTAATCAAATCCACGTGGTATGGCTGGGATTCAAACCCATGATTTCATTGGCATCTTGACTCAAAATTAACTCCAAAACGGTATTTCAAAGAGAGTACACGTAGGCCCTTCTTTTCTTTCCCAGTCTTCCTTTCTTTAAAGCACGCACGTGGCCATCTTTTTCCTGCATATATAGTAAAACATAATTTTAGGCCCTTTTAAAAAAGCACGCCTTTTGATCTTGTGCTGCTAATTGGTGAAGGTGAGTGGCAGGCATGGCAAGACCCATCATAGAACTCTACTTCTGGGTGTCTTCAGTTTCCCACAATCAAAAGCTGAGGGCTATTTTAAAACGTTGTTTTAATTGGTTCTTTGAAAAGCTGGGTGAAGTCAGTCAGCAGGGTGCCAATGGCACAGGGAGGGCAGTCTCACAGGGACAGGCCTGGCTTTTCAGAGTCACTTCCTGACGTCTGTCAGGACGTCATTGTTTCCCCAGCCTTCACCCATCCATGCATTTGCCTTCGTGGGTATGGCAATCTCTCGGAGCATGGCACAAGGGCCGCTGTATAAGAAGGCTGGTGTTCGTGCGCTCACAGATAACCATTAGTACTCTCAGAGCTGGTGGGTTATCAATATTTCTTTAGAATCTGGAAGAAAACCACCATGTTGGTAATAGTCGCGCAGTCTCCTGCTGGTCACCACTTGTCACAAATGACTGACTATCTCTTTGACTTCGTCTCCTCTAAGGTCATGGCTTTGTTGCTGTTATATCTCAACCATGAGTATAACTCAGTTGATAAAAAGGAAGAACTAAAAGATCGTGGAAGGAACGTAGGTTAGCACGTTCCTATAAACATTATCTCTTTCTCCCTTTACCTATGACCCTCACAGTGGAAGACTGAATTCCACCCTTTCCTAAAGGAAGGGAGGGGCAGGGAGAAAAGTGACGGTGACGACTGGTGCTGCCCACTCTCACACCCCACCCCTGCACCCCAGAGAAAGATCAGGAGCTTGGCTACTGAGCAGGAAGCTTTCCCCTTCCTAGAGAGCCTGGGTATCCCCAGGCTGGGGCTGTTGAGTTGGTGCTGATGGCACTGAAGACCGGAGGTTTGGCTCCACCCCCCTGAAGTTTGAGAGCGCCACAGGATCAGCCAACATAAAAGGTCAAGATGAAACAAAACCTCTCAAGCCCCAAACTCAAACCAGAACAAAGCAGCTGGGTGGACATGGCATAAAGGAAACAGGCTGAAGGAAGCAAATAATTAGGCACAAAGCATTTCCTATGGCAATACTCTCTCCTCCCCTGATCTCTGTGTGGCCCTATGTCCACCCATTCACTAAAGCCAAGATAAAATGGAGTGATAAGTATTGGCTTTGATATGAAAACCACGAACAAAATACACCGGGAGAGTTTGGTTTGATTTTCAGAGTCAAGATGACTCTCTCAAAGTAAAAATTCTCTATTTATATAGATTCAGTCCTTGAATTACAACTATCAGTTTTAAAGTTTTAAAATCAGAGTATGTCAGACTCTTAAAATGGAGAAAAGAAAATGGATCCCTACCGATTAGTGAGCAAAGCTGAGAACTATTAAACACCATGTGCTCTTCCTGCAGGGTGTTAGAAATGCATGGGCACAGACACGGCAACAGCGGATGCAGGTAAGTGACCCAAGCTGAATGTACACAAGAGAAGAAATTGTATTTGCTTGGTTGAGAGCGGGTTTCCAAGGAGTCCAACTGGCCAGATGCCACAGCTCACAATGATGAACCCACACTGAAGGCAGTTCTGGGCTCTGCCCTGTATGGAAAAATGACTCATGAATAGAGTCTCACCAGAAGCTTCTCAAAATTGGCTAATACCTAGACACTCAGCAGACAGAAAACACTCTACCCAAGAACTCAATTACCCGCTACCATTTTGAACACACAAAGTAATAATTTTTAAAAAGCTATATGGCCAATGTCCACGATGAGTTTATTTCACAGGGAGCCCCCCCACCAGTCCCATGATTTCCCCCCCATACCACACAGCGCCTGGCACTTGGCAGGTCTCTTTCATCACAGCATACATAAAGGAAGCAACAGAAACACATTAAAAACAGACCCCTCAACTTAGCAGATTTAGAAGGAAATCTTGAAGCAGTGTTTTGTTATGCTTTGATTAAAACTATTTACAAATCAAAGTGCACTTGTATAAAGATAGCAACGTTTCTATTAGGGTATAGGTTATTTTGCTTTATTGTGGTCTTTTATCTGAATATAAAACTTTTAAAGCTTTCTCTAATAAAAGTCATTCTTCTGCAGTACATAAGTTACTGATCCACTGAATTTCTGAACCAGGCTTTTTTTCCTTCTGTGCTTTTCTGCTGGACATCGCTACACAAGCGGCACACAGCTCTGGCGCAGGCCCAGGCTGATGCTGCGCTCAGAACCTGGACGAGGGGCGTACAGGAAGTGGCGCGCACAGGAAGTGGCGCGCACAGGAAGTGGCGCGCACAGGAAGTG